GGTTTTGAGGACCCCTTGCCAGATGCGCAGCCCTGGTTAGTGAGTGGTACCTGCTCCAGCATCACACTGCAGCTGCACAGCCATTCCCTCTCCTTCCTTCTCCCTATTCAGGTCAGGATTGAGCCCATTCCTCTCATAGAAAATTGTCCTGTTTTTTCTCTGCTTTTTCTTCCTCTCTCCAGTCATCCCATGCTTGCAAGAAGAGTATCAGGCAGGAGTGCATCAGAGAGGATGTAAGACAGCCCAGAACTTGTGGCCCTCCTTTTGCAGGAAGGGAATTGAGGAATTGAAAGCTGATTGACACAGACCTGCTCAATATCCCTGTGGATGGATTTAGCAAGGCAGATGCCAAGTTTCTAGAACATGAACACATATGTTGGAGAGCATGGGCCATACTTGTCTGCGGGACGCCGTGACTGTCGGCACACGAGTGCTCCTGCGCCGCTGCCAGCTCCTCCTGCGCTGCGGTGCCGCCTGCCAGGACACTGGCCAAGTTTGTGGTTGAGAGGCCCTGTCGTGACGGAACGGAAGGGTCGTTGTGGTTGGGAGGTACCAAATGTGCAGAAAGGCACCCTGTGCCAAAGGCACTTTCCTATCATTGCACTTCCTTAGGTAGAGGAAGAAAAGCTGGCTCTGTGGTGCAAGCTGGGCCACACTGGCGTCGGAATCCATTGCTGCCCCATTTAGTAAGCAATATTGCTGGAGCTGTCCTGGTGCAGGTACCACCAGCTCTTGCTACAGTTTTGGACTCAGGGTCTTCTATTTTATATATATATATACATATATATATATATATATTCTAATATGTGTGTGTGTGGTCCCCAATTGGCTTTCAAATGGAGAAACGTGTTTATAGATTTTATCTAGAGATTGCCAGGATTTGACAGTCAGTAGATGCTCTTAAGGAGTCTCTGTCCTTCTTCTAGTGTCTTACAGTTTAACACTTCAAAAGCACCAATGCAACTAATTCTTGCTACATTTCTTGTTGACTGAAGTGCTTCAGGGAAAAATAACTATTGCCTGGTTCCTTCCTACTCCTGGGAATGCTCTAACAACAGATGTGCTCTTTTGACTTCAGAGCATTGCTTGGCCTCACGTGGAGCCTTCCAAGCACCTTTCCTTTTGATTCAATTCTGCTGCATGGCCTCTGTGTAGAAATCCTCCCATGCTCATATGAATCGTACAATACAGCGATTGCTCTGGCTCCAGTTAACCCGACCATCAGGGGCTAATCTGAACTACTGAGAATGTCAGAACTTTTTTGTTTTTCAGTCACTCCCAGATGGGCCGACTCAGATTTTCTTTGTTTTCCATCTGGTCTTTCCTTGTCTTCCTTCTGAGGTACAGGATGCACATTCCCTCTTCCTCAGTCTTCACAGAACTGATGCTACTATCAGCTGACCGCTTCACACAAGGAGATCATCAAGTTATAGATATAGATATATAGTATAGAAGTATATAGATATAAAATAATTATTTCTTTTTCCCCCCTTCAAACATGTGGCCTCTTTTCTCTAGAGCACTTGCAATTTTTTGCAAATTTGCAACAAAGAGATTTGTACCCATTTTAATGAATCTTTTCATTAGGAGCCTGTCCTGGAATGCACCAGCCTTTCCATACCTGGTGCTGTCCCAAAGGATGTCTCCCCAAGGCAACCGAACCAAGCTGGATATGATTATCTCTTCAAAATCCAACTGCAGATTCTGACTGTAGACATATGGGCCTGCTACTGTGCAAGATGTTCAAAGCACATTCTGGCAGTAACCTATCTAGAATAAAAATGATATTATCAGCAATGGCCATGAAGCAGTCAGGGAAGCAAATGCTCCACAGAGCATCTGCAATAGGACCCATCTCCGTGGGGTTTCACCGGGATGTCTGTCTGGGTCCCAGACTGAGGAGCAATTTGAGTGCGGGGCAGAAATGCCGACCTGCCTGCAAACACAAAGGTGCCTGGCCCAGCATTTGCACAGAGTAAGCTATGAAAACGTTTGAATAGACAATCTGCAATTCTCTTTTGTTATTACTACGTTTTTAAATTCCAGGCTACAATACTGAGTCATAAGCCCCCTGTATGCAGTTAAACTTCTGCTTTTTGCTGCTTGTCAAACTTCCTCCGGGACTTCCTTTTCCACAGAAAGGAGTTGTTTATCCACGCTGATTCAGGAAGGAACAACATGCTTTTAAATCAATCTTTTGTCACAGGATTAAATCAATGAAAATTGACATCTTATTGAAGTATCTTATTGATACCTACTTCCTTGAAGACTCAGATGCTTTAGTACAATAGGAACCTTTCCATATAATTGCAGTCAGAGATCCTCTACAAAATGGCTTGACTCCTAGAAAACTGCTCGGCTCCCAGAAGTGCCTATCAAAAAAATACTTAGCAAAATGATGATAGAAGTTAGTAGTAGCAGTATTAGAATCATTTTGTCCATAAGCTGTGTCTATATATGTAAATATTTATGTGTGTGTTTTTGTAAAATATTCCCTCGCTGCTCCTTCTAATGCCCATTTTAGCAAGGAAAACTAGAGCAGACTTTGATATATGGTAGTCAAAACTCGAAGGAGGATGACTGGAAGCCTAACAACTCCAAATGTAAGGTCATGAGATTGGTAGCAAAGTGAGAAAAATCAGGAAAATTAAGAGAAAGAAGTTTTAAGTGTGTGTTCTTTGAATCTCTCTGGATGTGTTCTTAACTGTGTACTTTAAAGACAAGAAAAAGCGAGGTACTTCAAAATGCTTGTACAGTTAATACATCATGGAAGAGAAATATGTTTTACCTTTCAGGCACACAGATTATTTGTTAATAATTCTCCAACAGAAAATGTATTTACCGAAGATATTCCATGATTCTTCAATGCCACAGGGGAAAAGAAAATTTATAGAAGAAAGATTTGAAATCCTGAGGTCTAGAGAGATACGAGAATAAAGAGCTTTGAAGAATAATTGATCAGAGAATTAGAGCATAAAGGCAGTGAATTAGATTACAGATCCCATGTAGGTAGGAAGCCCCAAATGTGAGGAAAAGAGAGGGTCCAGAGAAGGGCAACCAGGATGATTAAGGGAATGGAACATCTCTCGTATGAAGAGAGGCTGAGCGAGCTGGGCCTGTTTTCTCTGGAGAAGAGACGGCTCAGAGGGGATCTGATTAATGTGTATAAGTTCAGGAAGGGAGAATGCAGGGAGGAAGGGGACAGGCTGTTCTCACTGGTGGCCAGCGATAGGACGAGGGGTAATGGCCACAAGCTGGAGCACAAGAAGTTCCGTCTCCAGGTGAGGAGCAACTTCTTTACTGTTAGGGTAACAGAGCAGTGGAACAGGCTGCCCCGGGGGGGGGTTGTGGAGTCTCCTACTCTGGAGGTCTTCAAAACCCCCCTGGATGCCACCCTGTGCCACATGCTCTAGGTGTGCCTGCTGGAGCAGGAAGGTTGGACTAGATGATCTCTAGAGGTCCCTTCCAACCTTGAATATTCTGTGATTCTGTGAAAACTATAGCTGGATCAATGTGGACAAAGGAAGCAGAAATAAGACTGCACACAATGCAAGAACTGCTTATGGGACAAACTGCGTGAGCCAGGAGCTCTCGTTTGCAGCCCACACACTGACACAGCATCACTTTTTTTGTTCCCACATGTTCACAGTCAGCTACAAAGCCAGCGGGACTTGCAGGGTAGCTGAGCATTAGTGTTTTTTTTTTTTTTTCTTTTTTTCCTGCGTAAGATGCTACGCAGTGCTATTACCAAGCACATTTTTACGGTACAATCTTTCTCTCCATAACTTCAACTATATCTGCCTGTCGGTTTCTCTGTAAATTAGAGAAGGTCCTTGTTTTCGGAGTGCCTGCATAAAGAGAAAGGTCAAGAAATACAGAATAAAGCTGTTGTAATGAGCACATCGGATTTATTAGAAATGTGGAAGGCACTATTATTCATGGTGTGAGTGACAAATACCTGAAATAAGGAACATGTTTAAAGGTGAGAATTGAGAATGCATTTTTTTCAAGATGGACAAGTGAAATGTTCAAAGAACATTTTGATTCTTTAAGTTTGCCTTTTTATATGAAGCATTCATCTATGCTTGTATCTCACATATCTAAGAATTATTTATTTGTTTTAATGATGTAGCACCTGAAATTAACAATGTTTTAGTAGTTGTCTTATCGAGGCAATCACTGTTTCAAATGGGACTGCAAAAGACTCTAAAGTTTTAAAGATAAAACTTTAAGCACATATTTTTGCAGTTGTGTAGAACTTTTATATGTCATGTAGAGTTTTATTGCTGGAGTTTTAGGGAAAGTATTTAGTTGTAAACAAGCAGAAAAGGAGAACACTGGGAAGGGAGTAAAAAGCTGCAGTGCTCAGTGGCTACTGAATCATAGAATCCTTAAGGTTGGAAGGGACCTCTAGAGATCATCTAGAGGTGGATGTATTTGTGGCCAAGCATTTTCACCTTATTTATGTGGTTCTTTTGTGTGTGTACGAGTACTTTGGTTTTGCAGGTGAGTGAGGAAGAGGCCTCAGAAGCTGAAATCTGGCCCCCTGGCAGCTGAGCACTTTAGAATTTAAGTGCTGAATCCAAGTGCAGTTTCTCTCCTACACTAGGTTTTATTAAAGGCCTGTTTGTGGGATTATATCCCCCCATCACTCTTATTATTACAGAGCACTTTATAAAGGACTGTTTTTATGCTCTCTGCAAAGATACCAATCTGTTTAAACTTTCCCATTCCTACTCAGGAGCCCTGTTGGACTTCCACTTGCTTCAGATATCACTGCGTTGCTAGATGATGTCATGATCATATATATATATATAACTTTTTGGTATTTTTTTATATATAAATTTTTGTTTATAGCCCAGTGACATAAAGTGGGGTGCTTTTTCAGGTAGCCATTCCCGCTCTGTCCTGACCCAAGTAACAATTTTGCAGACACAAGTATCTGACACCTAACCAGCAGAGCTGGCAGGAGGTCCCACTCTGTCCTCTTTCTCTTGCAGGTCACGAGTTTCTCCTGCTTATCTCAACTGTCAGACAAGCATGATTACCTCCTCTTCTAAACAAATTTGACTTGTAATACTCAGAAGAACCTTACCCTGCTGTATTTAAAAAAAAAAAAAAAAAAAAAAAAATCAAAACAGAAGATGGAGCCAGAGAGCAACGTTTTTGAGCTAATTGCCCAGGAGATGGAAGGGAATTCATTGGCTGCAGTCCACAGGATTTAACCAAGACTATAGATGAAGAGTTGGAAAAAGTGCACTGGGGCTCTGGTGTAAGGTACCAGGGACATGGAAAGTGGCTCTATTGTGGTTAAATCACATTGGTTTAAAATACCACTGCTTCCCCAAGGTTCACCAAACATGTAAATTAAGAACAACAACAAAAACTACAGAAAAAGATAATGGCTAACAAGCTAATTTCATTCTATTCCAATTAAAGTCAACTTGTATTGAGAAGAACAAATATATATCATATATGTAAACATATATAAAAGTTTCATTTACTTCTACTATACCAAAATGCCCAGTAAAACAAATGATGATAAGCAAAAATGAACTAATATTAACATGATACAAAATAAGCTGCATTTTGATTTTCAGTCAGCATTACTGACAGATGTATTATTCAAGAAAGTTAAGTAATCCACGTATACCATATCAGTTACCAAACTTTATATGGTAAGTTCTATATATTCAGAATTTATGTTAACCACAATAAAGAGAATATTTAAATTATATTATCCTTACATTCTATTTCTGTAATTGCCTGCAAGAAATACATGCCAAAGGAGCATCATATCATTTTTAACCCTGCACATTTTTTTTGGAACATATGAAAAGAACTGAATAAGCCTGCTTTCCACAGCATTCAAAGTCAGTTAAAAGACTGCTATCTTTCCATTCTGTAAGTATTTCTGTGCAATTTGACCTGAATTAATTAATTTCTAGTAAATGAAGAGGAATCCATATACTTTGATATATTTTAGAGTTTTTTTTCTTCCAATTATATGAGAAAATACTAAATCACTGTAACTTGGCATCTGTAGGTAGTCGTTAAAATTGATGTCTATGGCAATTGTAACTTGGAGACCTTTCTGTCCATTAGTTTATCTGATTATTACCATATCAATAAAATTGCTTTAGAAAGTGAAGTATTTTTGATTGGATTGCGTATGTAAATGGAAGCTCTGGGTGAAAAAAAAAAGTGTGCAATTTCAGTGTCTTTTCCCCATTTCAGGCAATATTCTTGTAACCCATCAGGCACAATGCAACGCAGAAGCGGGTGCAATTTCCTATAAGCAGGAATGAGCTTCAGGCACCTCTGAAATCTTTCCATTTCTTCTCTCCTTTTTCTTCCCAGTTTTTCACGCATCACTTTTCCTTCTCTCAGTCATAGCAAGACAGTAATTTCCCAGCCATATTTTCCAATCTTATAAGGGAGAACTGTGTTGACCCCAGATCTGGATACCTGAGGTACAGAACATAATGAATCTCGGGCCCCCTTTCATTCTCCATCGCTCAGGTGCTTCCCTGGTCTTGCAGAGCAAGGGGTCATTCACAGATATGGTTTAAAACTTGCCATTAAGATTTTATCTTGACTCAGTACAAGCCCACTGGAGCATCTACTGTATTGTGCTCCTTTTTTCTTTTTTTTTTTTTTTTTTTCCTTTCTCCAAAAGGGTAACTTGTTTCCAAAGATCAAATCTCTACACAAGCCATTCACTTGATTTCAGCATAGTATTAACTTCAGCCTAAATGGATGCCCTTGCAGCATGGCATGTCCCTGGAAGCAGGGCTGAGGTTGCCTGTGGAGCTGTATCCTGCAGCTGAATGTGAACAACGTGTCCAGGCTACTTTGTGGAATTTTCTTTATGCATTTTGGAGATAGCGATAAAGTGATAAAAATAAAATCTCTGATTATGACTGCTTTCAGTTTTTTTTTTTATCTTCTCTAAGCAGTTTTTTAATGCTTGAAGGAGTGAGACAGTAACCAAAACCGTCTAAGGATGTAAGAAAGACCTGGTTAGCAGGGAAATGTGACATTTTCTAATAAGCAAATGAAGAACAAAGGAGCTAGTTCAATGAATACGTAAGACCCAAAGGTCCTACGAACCATGCCGCTGCCTCTTGAGGACGTTCCTTTCCTTCATTACTTGCTTCCCTCAGGCCTTTCTGCCCTCCAAAAAAAAAGTATGTTCTGGGTCCGTGCGGTCTGTTGTCTCCTGCGTGCTCCCAGCCATTGTTTACCCACGAACAATGCACACAGCCACGTCCTGAATACAAACTGCTGCGAAGACGGCAGGTCCTGCCAGACCTCCTCAGGCTTCTCCTTCAGGAGACGTTTTCAGACGTATGTCAGTTCTGAAAACTGTCAAGAATGCAGACAACTTTAAGGAACAGTATCTTGCATGTGTCGGTGACCAGCGGCACGAGGACCTGCCAGCAGGGTCGCACACAGCAGGAGGACTGGTCTGCTTGCTTCTTTAGTAGCAGCTCTCTTCTAGAAATTGCAAGAGACAAATACTATTAAGTGGGTTCATAGATGTGTGATCTCACTCTGGGAAATAGTTTGTGATTATAAACCCATTTCCTATAAGCCAATACTCCCTACCCTGACTGGATCTTGTCTGCACAGCACGCTGTGAGCCTCAAATAGCCAAGTAAATCTCCAATGTCTTGCTGTGGTGCTGCTGATATCGCTTGTTTGTTTAGTGCAACACTACCAGATTATTAAACATTGTGAAGATTTAGGCCTGCCCCGAAGAATTAACTCTTTCCTTTGTTTCCTGACTTCCAGATAAGCAAGGAAAGTGCTGAGTTTCCAAAAAGGCCCTGCTGCTTGTCCTATTGCTGATGTTGGTGCAGGTCACTCACTGGAAAAAAAAAAAAAAAAAAAAAGTCCGTAGGTTTAGGGATTTTTTGTACCTGTAGTTGCATAGCTCACCTCTGTAAGTGATATCGTTTGTCCCAAACTGCACAGTAAGTATTTCCCTATCTACCTAACTCGGAACAGCCTCCTGTTCCGAGCAGGAGCACGGTTTTTGCACAGACAACCCTACAACATTTGTAGGCAAGTTTAAAGTCACCAGTTTCAAGTCACCTTTTCAAGTCTGCAACTCGCTTCTGCAGGCAAGGACAACCCTTCAGGCACATCAGTGTGCTTTTATAAGAATGCTTGAAATACATCCTGAAGTTTGTCTTTGGCATGTGCCTCTGGAACAAGTGCTTTCTCCTTAGCTTTGGCATAAAGCTTTGGGTAAGTTATTTGACCTGGGCGGTAAAAGAATCCAGCAGGAAAAGTGTTTGGAAAGCAGCATTTTGGTGAAAACCAGGTGCAGGAGCTGGGCTATGTTTCCCGTTAGGGATAAACTCTCTAAAGGTGAGATCACATAAGAAATATTGCACACACTCAGTTATGAATTTGAGCTTCCCGGAAAGCTTCCTACCTGGAGCTAATTCCATCTGGTGTCCCTGCGTTTTACCTCACCCTGTTTTCACGGCCATGCACAGCACAGTGCGGAGCTGCAACCCGAGCCACCTGGAGACCCTTCCAGAGCACAAACACCGTGGGACGCGGACAGTAACGCAGAAAGCAGCTAAACTGAGCCCGGGCCCGCCGGCCTGCGGCGCCAGCACGGAGTATCTGCTTATCTCGGAGAGCGACCTTGGAATCCCTCACAGAATCACAGGAGGGAAATAAAACAATAATCTAGGCACAGTCCAGCCTAGACATCGTCCTGTTGAATCCACGTGTATATATGTGTGTATATGTATGTTTTATATATATATGTGTGTGTGTGTATATAAATATAGTCGGGCAGAGCCACGTCTCCCCGCTCGGCCCGCGCGGCCGCGGGGCGGTCCCGCCACAGCCGCGAGATGGCGGCGGGCGGCCGCCATTTCCCCTCCGCCCCCTGCGCCGCGCCCCGGGGCCGGGCCTGGCGCCGCGCTCCGCCCAGCCCAGCCCGGCCCAGCCAGGCCCGGCCCAGCCCGGCCCGGCCCGGGGG